CAGGCGGTCGTGAGTTCGATCCCTGGTACCGAGAAAAATGAAAAAGACCAAAAAAAAAAAAAAAAAACAAGGAATTTTTAGAGCTAGCTATGGTAGCACATACCTGTAATCTCAGCACCCCAGATGCTAAAGCAGGAGGGTCACACTGAGTTCAGGACCAGCCTGAGCTTCATGATCCTGTCTCTAAGGAAAAATAAAAACAAAAAACAAAGGAATTTTTTTTTTTTGTCTTTTTCCTTTTTATTGGTACTGGGGATGGAACTCACGACTGCCGGCTTATGTGCTGAGCTAAATCCCCAGCCCCAGGAATTTTTAAAAGTCAAAATGCCCCTGAGCTATAGGCATTAGAAGAAATTTTATTCTTATAAAGTCTATGCCAACCATGTTGCAATGGTCAGCCTTATATGTCTCACAGACAGTTCCTTGGCAAACCTAGAGATCAGTATCAACAGTAATAAATCATGTTGATATTACTACATGTACACTTGATATCATGTGATAAAAATGGCATTTTACTTCTATGGTTTTCCTCTTCAAAACCTATAAATTTAGTCTAATTGTAAGAAAAATAATTGCACAAATTCTACCACAAAGCATCCTACAACATACCTAACCAGTACTCCCCAAAATTTTCATCACACCCAAGCTCAAGATCATCAAAACCAACAACAAAAGTCTAAGAAAATGTTCCAGAAAAGAGAAGACTAACGACATATAACAACTAAATGTAATAGTGTAGGTGGTTGGGATCCTGAAACAGGAGAAAAAAAAACAGGTAAAGATAACTAAAGAAATCTGAACAAATTATATACTTTCATATGGTTCATAGTCATTAATGGTAGCAAATGTGCCATACTCATGTAACATAATAATGGGGGAAAGTGTGTGTGGGATATATGGAAATTTTATATTATCTTTTCAATGTTCCTGTAAATTTAAAAAAAAAATTTTTTTTTTGTCTTTTTTGTTTTTATCAGTACCAGGGATCGAACTCACTACTGCCTGCTTGCAAGGCAGGTGCTTATGCCGCTGAGCTAAATCCCCAGCCCCAAATTTAAATTTTTTAAAAAGTATATTCATTAAAGATGTGTGTATATTATATGTGTGCATATAACACACACATATAAATACATGTACACGCTTCATTTTTTCTTTGAGGCCTCATTCTTACCATTCAAAGCTAATTTCAGGTTTAAGAATTAATTCCAGAAGATCACTGACCTCTGATTATTAAAATAAGGTATTCAATAATGAAACTAGGCATCTGTAAATACACACATTTATTGCCCAAATGAGTGCTGTTACTTCAACATAGTAATTCAAAAGATTGTCTTATTTGTTTTTAGTCTTATTTTAATAACAAGGGTATTGCTCAAAACATTTTGAGAATCACCTTCAGAGTACATATAGCACACACTGCAATGAATATTCATTAACTGCAGGTAGATCTGATTTATGCAAATAGCCAAAAGAACTCAGACCAAGGCTGATGATTAAAGAGGCTGGAAATCTGGATAGTAAATGTGTTTCAGAAATGTTTTGGATTTTAGAAATATAGTATGGTGCACATATACTCTATAAAACAAAAATCCCAATAGCAGATAGAACAAAACTTAGTAGCCTGGGGCTGGGGGTTTAGCTCAGCGGCATAAGCGCCTGCTTTGCAAGCAGGCAGTCGTGAGTTCGATCCCCGGTACCGATAAAAAGGAAAAAGACAAAAAAAAAAAAAAAACTTAGTAGCCAAATAAATTAATATTTCTGTAATGACATATATCAGTAATATTATCAAGATAAGTAAAAGAAGCCAGGTGGGTGACACATCCCTATAGCCCCAGAACGCTGAAGGTTGAGACAGGAAGATCTCTGAGAATTCAAGGCCAGTTTGGACTACATAGTGAGTTCAAAGCTAGTCTGAACTACATAGTGTGACTCTGTCACCAAAAAAAAAAAAAAAAAAAAAGTGAAAGAAATAAATGAAAATTATAAATAACTTCATATAAATTTAGGTCAGGTTTTCTGCTACAAAAGAGTCTATGTCAGATTGGATTATGTTCTTTTTTTTTTTTTCCCAGTGCCAGAGATTAAACCAAAGGGAATGGTTTAATCCCAGTTCCATGACCTGACAAGCACAAGGTCATGAGTTCATTCCCAGAACCAAAAACAAAAAAGAGATTAAACCAAGGGCTTTGCATATGCTAGGCAAACACTACTACTGAGCTCTGTCCCTAAACCAGAATAGGTTCATTGCCAAATAAATTATGAAAGAGCTTTTTTCATAATTTTTCAATTTAAGAAGCACAAAGAGGGGTTGAGGCTATGGCTCAGTGGTACAGCTCTTGCCTTCCATGCATAAGGCCCTGGGCTCAATCCTCAGCACAAGAAGGAGGAAGAGGAAGAGCAGGAGGAAGAGGAGAGGAAGCAGCAGCAGCAGCATAATGAACTGCAGACTATTATCTGGACCTGGTGGCACACGCCTGTAATCCCAGCACTCCTGAGGCTGAGGTAGGAGGATCTCGAGTTTGAGGCCAGCCTGGGCTACATAGAGTCCAAGGGTAGCCTACACAGTGAGACCCTATATCAAAACAAAAACAACAATGAGAATGAGAATGGAGGACTGTGAATATTTGAAAGAGATAATTTAGCCAACCAATCATCAGGCCCATTTCATTTTTCTTTTAAATCTGTTCTTCGCTGGGCATAGTGGTGCATGCCTGTAATCTCAGCACTCACGAGGCCAAGGCAAGAGGATCCTTAGTTGAGAGTTTGAGGCAAGCCTTAACTTCATAGAGAAACCCTGTCTCCAAAAGATATATACATTTCCTTTGCATCCCATACCACTGACTTTGCCCAGCATCTCACTGGGAAGGTTCGAGGTCTTAAGTCTTTCATCTGGCCTCTGTGGCTGTTTATGCAGCCTATAAATCCTTCCTCTGCTCTAAAAATGCAAATCTGACCCTATCACTTTCATGTTAGTCTTTATGATTCTAAGAGTATCAAGCCCTGGGTTCTTAGTATGTTCTAAAACTTAGATATAAAGAAACATTGTAACAGTGCTATTGAAAGGTTGATACTATTTGATAGTTTGTGTCATACTAATCTCCCAAAATTAAGTGCATAAGCATTTACAAAACAGTATCAATTTTAGATAAACTTCATATTTATTGAACCTAGTAAAATAGCTTATTTCACTTCATTTTTCAAGTTCTTTTAATATGTTTCATAAAATACTGAACAACGTTCTGTGGCTTTTGGGGGGACCAGGGATTCAATTCACAACCTTGTGCTTGCCAGGCAGGTGCTTATGCTATTGGGCTAAATCTCCAGCCCTGTAGTTTTTGTTTTGTTGGGTTTTCTTTCCTCTTTTTTTTTTTTTCTTTTTGGACAGGGTCTTGCTTTGTAGTTGGTTAGCCTCGAACTCACGGCAGTCCTCTTGCCTCAGCTTCTTAAGTGTGGGGATTAAACGTGTACATTATCATGCAAGGCTGGATTTTTTTAAATTGGTCTGGTCCTTCACAATTTGAGATTTGTGTAATGGCCTTAATGTAACAGCCTCGTACACCTCCCAAGGGTCATTTCTAAACACCCCTACTCACCCATCACCCAGTTAACAATGAAGTTTCTAGTTCTGCATCCTCCTGCAAGTTTGCATTCTGGTCACTCTAACTTGACTTCCTCTCTTCCCAGAAATCGTCTATTCACACTTCAAAACTCTGAGCTGTCTCTTCACCTTCCTTAGATGCCTGTCTAAACCAGCCCCTTACAACTACAGGCCGAACAGATCACAAGCCTTTTCACTGTTGTTGTTTGTGCTCCTATTATTGCCTTATGTGGTAACTATTTTTTTTTTTTTTTTTTTTTTTTGTCTTTTTTATTGGTACCGGGGATGGAACTCACAACCGCCTGCTTGCAAGGCAGGTGCTTATGCCCCTGAGCTAAATCCCCAGCCCCTATGTTGTAACTATTTATATGGCTATCTCTCCTACTCATCTGTGAGGTTAGGATTGTTATACACGCCTTTGCTCGTGAAGCAGTTTTTATAAAATAATTAAAATGAAGGATGATTAAAATACTCAAATATGGGCCAGGGATTTAGCTCAGTGGCATAAGTGCCTGCCTGGCAAGCATGGATGGGGTTGTGAGTTCGACACCCAGTACCAAAGAACAAAACAAACCTCAAATATTCAGTCTTCTTACAATAAATTACTAAAAGGGGAGAATTATTACAAATATATATTACTATATATATACCTACACACATATATAATATATATTATATATATTATATTACCAGCAAGAATTTTGTCTTCTATATTTAACACTTGAGTGTGAATGAAGTGACAAAAGTAGTGGACATTTCAGAATGCCAACAAGCCAGATTTATGGGTTCCTTGGAAACAAGAAGGAAAAGGGACATGGAAATCAAATATCTTCCCTTAAACAGTTTCGTCCAGGTTCAGCCTCTTTTAAGAGTAAAATCTGTATTTATTGACCTTTGCAAAGTTTCTCTGTCTTATAAACAGCAACCTCCGTTCATGTCAGACACTTATCAGGTATCAGGCCTACTATGGAGAAGTCCTGAGGTGAAAATGGAACAAGCAACTGAACATTTTTGAAATGGTGTAGATGGATCCATGAGACCACAGAGAGGTGGCCTGGTGAATAGGAAGGGTCCTGAGAAGGATAGGGCCCAGGAAGGAGAATTTGAGCCCAACCTTGCTGAGGGAGGCACATTTGGCAAGGTGGGCACATGTAGGGGAGATGAGCAAAGCAATCTGCTAGATGAAGATGTACACGTGCCTGGGAGCAGGCCTTCTGGTTTGCAGATATTTGCTCTTCTTCCACCCACTTTCTTCCCAGTTTCTCACACACACACACCCCACCCCGCTTTTCCTGGAGAATGAGGACCAAGGATAATTTCCCTTCCTGATAGAGACCAGTACAGACAATACAGGGAACACTGAACTTTAATTAAATGAGAGCAATTGATGAATTCCGCATACCTTTGGGGTGGGAGACAGGTGAGGATGTGGTCCTGAATGAGAGCAGTGCCCACCTAAAACAAGAAGTGGACATTTTTCTTTGTCCCCAATCCCTTTTTTGTCACATACCTCCCCCACCCACACCTGTCTCCTATATTTTTTGTTTTCCTATAGTTTCTCGTGGTCTCAATCTTACTGTTCTCCCTTTGCTTTAGGATGGAAATTCCTTGTTCTCAACGGAAGGGAGTAGGAGGGGAGGAGGGGGAGGTAGGAGTGGGTGGGAAGCGAAGAACAGACATCTCAGCAGCTTCGGCTGCGGGGGCGCTCTGGGCCCCTGGCGGGCCTGACAAGTCAATGATTTTTTAAATGTATATATTTTTAAATCCACACATAGGGCCCCGATACAAACCTACAGGAAGAGAGACACAGATATCCAAGAAAATGTAAAGAAAAATACAGCAGCTCAGGGTACTGTCAATAGCGTCTTAAACTTGCCGAGCACTCTACGATTTAGTTTTCACTCACACCAAGTACTTGAACCTTACGGGGGATCTAGAGAAACACAGGTATAAACACCAGGTACTTCACCCTCAGCACAAATTCGCACTCAGACCTCCACTGACTCCCCTAAGTGAGGGAACTAGCCCCTTCCGCGAGGTTTTTCTTTCCTCCTTCTCTGGTCAAGCACCGCCCCAGGACCTGGGAGCGGAGGCCTCAAAATCCGCTCCTCCCCGGTCATCCTTCCTAACAGGAACCCAGGCGCCGAGCGCCTACCAGGCGGCCTCCACCTAGCTGCACGCCCCACTCTCCACAGGCGGGCGTCTCCCTCCAGATCCCAGGACTCAGCGCTGCCCAGAGCCGGGCGGGTGGGAGGGAGGGGGGCGCCTGGAGCAGAGGCTGCGTGGGCGGAGGATGTGCGTCACGGGGAGCGTGGGCAGAGGGAGGGTGGGGGCACGTGGAAACCCAGGGCCAGCGGCTGGCAGCCGGGCTCCAAAATAACCGGAGAGGGAGGGGGAGGGGCGGGGGGAAGGGCGCCCCTTTCCTCTACCCTTTCCTAGGGTGTCGAGCTGTGACCCTGCAGAGAGCCGGTCTAGCCGCACCCTCTCTTGCAAGACCAAGGATCAAGAGGAGGACTCTGCTGATTCCTGCCACCCTCATCCTGTTTGGCGTTTAATGGAATAGAGACAAGAATCTGAGCTACTGAAATACCTCCAATACGCACCCCTCCTCCCCTGCCCCCACCAAAGACGAAAGGTCCCTTAGCCAGGCCGATATGTAGAAACAGCCCGGGCCCACGCCACCCGCGCTTGCTGGGCCCGCCACTCAGAAGTACAGAACGGCGGAGCGGGGCGGGCCTGAGGTTTCGAACCAGGAGACCCTCGCCCATGGCCAACTCGCGCGCTTCCCGCGGCCCACCTCTGTTCTCAGGGCCTAGAGCCCCCGCCTCCCCCTGCAGCCCGCTCAGCCGTGGGCGGGAGTGTAATGGGAACCAGATGGGGCTAGGAGAAACCGGGAGGGGCGGTGGGTTGCGGAGGGGGGGCCAGGCTCCTTAAAGGCGCTCCTCCCTCTAGGTTTTCCTTAGGGCGTCACGTCGGACCTTCCGGCCTTTTGCTCCTCTCCCCACTGTATGCTCTGGCGAAATCTCCCACAACCAACCCCTCAAGGGTCACCTCTTTATCCCAGCTTTGCCATTTAACCTCCAGGAGCAGAATACCATCCTCAACAAATAAGGGTGCGACAAATAGAGGAAGGCAGGATGTCCCCATCTCTGCCTGACCTATGCAAACAAAATCCCACACCCAATCAGTGCTCGTCTATAAGGTGACTTCTAGCACAGCTGAGCATCCCTAGTCCCCAGAACTTAGATGACGACTGGAGGCAGGGATGAGGAGGCCTGGGTTTCCAGCAGCTTTCTCAGATAGCTCTCTTGGGGGCTGACGAAGGGCGACGGGATTTCGAAAGGTTTCTTAAGGGGCTTATGCTCACGGATTTGCCAAAAGCTCACACTTGGAAGACAGTGAAATGCGCGCACCGGAGCAGTCACCCGGGCCTTCCTAACTTTTTCCCCGCTCGCTCCTAACATTCATGGGAACAGCTCAGCGAGGCCAGAGTGTAGGCAGCCGGGGTTCGCGTACTTGTTTATACGCGAGGGCACGTAGTATGCTTCTCTGTGTACCTGTGCGTGGTTGTGAAACTGAGCGCTCAGCTCGGAATAGGGGCGGTGGGGGAAGTAGGAATGTGGCCGGCGGGGCACTCACGTGGGTGCGTGGGACCGGAGAAGGCCGGCTGTGCATCCGGCGTGGGCGGCACAGAGCGACCTCGCCCCGCCCTCTGGGTCCCAAGCTCGGCCTCCACAGTCTGGCCTCGGTCACCTTGGTCCCTAACTCGGCACCCCGACCCAAATGCCCGCCCCCGCTCCGCGCGCCACCCCTCCCCCCCACGCCTCATTCTGTCGCCAGCTCTCCCGCGGCGTCTCTGCGACCAAAAGGCCCCGGAGCCCGCCCCCGGCCCAGCCGAAGGCCCAGCCCCGGCCCCCAAGCCGGCCCCCGCCCCCGGCTCTGCCCACGCCCTCCTCCCGCCAGCCCGGCAGCCAGCACAGCGCGGGGCCTCGCTCCCCGTGCGTCCTGCGGGGGCGGAGGCGCGGAGAGGCGGCAAGCGCAGCCGGGGAGGGGGGGGCAGAGGCACTGACAGAGGCGCGGAGGCTCAGAGAGAGAAGACGTGGAGGGAGGGACGGAGCCTGGACAGCGGTGGACACGGCGTCGCGGGCCGGGCGGAGCGCAGCGCGCAGCAGACGCCGAGTGCCGGGCACCCAGAAGGGCAGCCCAGGTGCTCTCTGGCCGTCCATGCACAGAGCGCCCTCCCCCACAGCCGAACAGTCGCTGGGCGGAGGGGACAGCACCCGCCGGACCCCGCAGCCCAGACTCAAGTTAGTGAGCAAAGGGAGGCGGCGGGGTGTGGAGATGGGTGGAGCTGGACTTGGGAATGGGGTCTGGAGGGTGGAGGTCGAGGAGAGGACGGGGGTGGGGGGTGGAGACTGATGGAAAAAGGGGTGAGTCTCCGAATTAGGGGACCCTGGGAGCAGATAAAGATCTGATAAAGCCGTATACAAAAGCCTACTGCCTCATTCTCTTATTTGAGTTTTATTTTGTGGGCATGACCTAGCATGTGAACCCCCCCGCAAAGAATGTGGGAGCCCCCAAGCACCAGGGAAAGCCCCGGAGCTCGAGCTGGCAGTAGTGTGGCGGGGACGGGGGAGCTCAGCTGGTTCAGTGTGTCGTTGGCCCGCAGCGCACAGTCCCCAGGTCCCGGAGAAGCTGGCGCCTATGAGTACGGAAGCATCAGCCCGAGTTGAGGCAGGGGATGCTGCAGGCGTCCCATCTGACCCTTGTGGTTCACAGCGTTTGAGGGAGAATTTCAGTGCTCTTCTCTCAAAAGGCCTTAGGTTGCTCCCAACTCCCCTCGAAGATGTGGGTGGAAAATAAGGAAGAAGAGAGTAGGTGGGAGCCCCTAGGCGGTTTTCACCCACCGACAGCAACCTCTGTGGGAGTGTGTGGGTGGATTGGCCCCAGAGCAGAACAATTGAGGTACCTCTCATCCCCCAAGGTGAAAGGACTGGTTTCCCGAGCAAGTAGGGAAGGCCACACCAGGGGAGGGGCCAAGTGAGGGTCGTTGGGTCCTGGGGAGAGTGAACAAGGGTGCGCTAAGAAAACCATCAGTGGCAAAGCAAAAAGGAACAGGGGTCCACCTGGCTGAGTTCACCAAGTTAAGGGGCCACACCCCTCCCGTTCAGCCCCTTGGTGGAGTGAAGCTGGCTCTCCCCAGTGCCCCCTGTGGATAGAAGGGGGTCCTAGGTTGGACCTTAGTTTGGGACTTAAAGTTAAGTGATATTGAAACTGCTGGGGCATTTAGGGTTGTAAGAACTGTGTTTTGGGGGTTAAGAAGGCAGCCATCTGAGGGGTGTGCGGGGGGACCCTGTCTTCTTGCCTCAGACAAGAAAAGTCAGCACTAAAAATGAGGATAGAAATCTTTTATTTCTTCTAGCCAGTCTTGAGATAGCCCTGCTGTGTTTGTGCCTCCAAGCAGTGTCTGAGTCTCTTGGTCTCTGCTCAGCTCTGGGCACTGGGCAGAAAGAGCATTGAAAAGAGGGAGGAGATGAGAAGGAGGCTAGAAAGAGAGGACAATTGTTAGTGTGGGCTGGTACCCAGCAGGGGCACTTGCACTGACTGCCTGTTTCTTGTGCCCCTCCTCCTCAGGCCCAGTGCCCGAGCCATGGCATTGCCTCGGACGCTGGGGGAGCTGCAGCTGTATCGGGTCCTGCAGCGTGCCAACCTCCTTTCCTACTACGAGACCTTCATCCAGCAAGGAGGTGATGACGTGCAACAGCTTTGTGAGGCTGGTGAGGAGGAGTTCCTGGAGATCATGGCACTTGTGGGCATGGCCACAAAGCCCCTCCATGTCCGACGCCTACAAAAAGCATTGAGAGAGTGGGCTACCAATCCAGGGCTCTTTAGCCAACCAGTGCCTGCTGTCCCTGTTTCCAGCATTCCACTCTTCAAGATCTCTGAAACTGCGGGTACCCGGAAGGGAAGCATGAGCAATGGCCATGGCAGCCCAGGGGAAAAGGCGGGCAGTGCCCGTAGTTTCAGCCCCAAAAGTCCCCTTGAACTTGGAGAGAAGCTATCACCACTACCTGGGGGACCTGGGGCAGGAGACCCCCGGATCTGGCCAGGCCGGAGCACCCCAGAGTCGGACATTGGGGCGGGAGGAGAAGAGGAAGCTGGTTCACCTCCCTTTTCCCCACCTGCAGGGGGAGGAGTCCCTGAAGGGACTGGGGCAGGGGGAATGGCAGCCAGTGGAACTGGGGGTGGTCCAGACCGCCTGGAGCCAGAGATGGTACGCATGGTGGTGGAAAGTGTGGAGAGGATCTTCCGAAGCTTCCCAAGGGGTGATGCTGGGGAGGTCACATCTCTGTTGAAGCTGAATAAGAAGCTGGCACGGAGTGTGGGGCACATCTTTGAGATGGATGATAATGATAGTCAGAAGGAAGAGGAGATCCGAAAGTACAGCATCATCTATGGCCGCTTCGACTCCAAAAGGCGGGAGGGCAAACAGCTCAGCCTGCATGAGGTGAGGACCCAGATCCTCTTGGAACTACTATCGACTCTCAGACTTTACCTCTAAGGATTCCTATGTTTCCCTGTGTCTTACTGTTCCTTGACAATGTCTTACTGTTCCTTGACAAGAACACTAAGCCTAATCCCCAAACCTATGTAAAACCTAGCTGCTAGGGGCTGGGGATTTAGCTCAGTGGCATAAACACCTGCGTTGCAAGCAGGCAGTTGTGAGTTCGATCCCTGGTACCGATAAAAACGAAAAAGACCAAAAAAAAAAAAAAAAAAAAGATTTGCCAAAAAGACCTAGCTGCTAAAGTGCCTCCCTCTTCAACTGAGGGAGAAGCAGAGATTTAGGCAAGAAGAGCCCAGCTGATCAGCTCTGTGTCAGTAAAGATTCCACAGGCGTAGAAGAGGCTCCGGGTATTACTAGGAAGTTGTGGGTGCTAACCTCTATCTTCCTCCCCCAGGAAGCTCCTGTGTATTGTCCAAACAAAGCAGGCCTCCAATGAACTGCCTCCTTTGATGGTAAAGATGTGAGACGATCTGGATAAGGCAATGGAAGAGTAAGGATTCTATTTATCCTCTCTCCACAGCTGACCATCAATGAAGCTGCTGCTCAGTTCTGCATGAGGGACAACACACTCTTACTTCGGAGGGTGGAGCTCTTTTCTCTGTCTCGTCAAGTGGCTCGAGAAAGCACCTACTTGTCTTCCCTGAAGGGTTCCAGGTTAGACCCCCTTCCCCAGATCCTACCTTGGAATCTTGCCAGGCAGTTGGATCATGTCCTAACTTAGGCTCAGGCAGCTCTAGGCTTGCTTCCCACCCACCTATGTGTTTTGCCTTTGGCCAAGTGGGAGGAGGTCTGGTCCCTCCTCCTATTCATCTCAGGTCCTCCCAACCCCCCAGAAAGTGATGAGGTCAAAGACTCCTTCCTCTTTGCAAAGTTTTTAAGTCATGCATCTGCTTGTCCACATTCTGTTCCTTGACCATCATGTGACCGACCCTCTCCAGTTTGTCATTTTTCTCCATTTTTGCAGGCTCCACTCGGAAGAATTAGGAGGCCCCCCACTTAAGAAGCTGAAACAAGAGGTATAATATTTTCTAGGGGTGGGTTAGCCTGCCCCAACACTCTCTCTTGCCAGGTCCTCATTTCCTCATTCTGGGCATCCACAGGTTGGAGAACAGAGTCACTCTGAAATCCAGCAGCCTCCTCCAGGCCCTGAGTTGTATGCACCTTCATACCGCCCCAGCCTGGAGGAGGACAGTGCCAGTCTGTCTGGGGAGAGTCTAGATGGACACTTGCAGGGTGAGTATGCATTAGAGCACTTCCCTCTTCATCGTGGGGAGGTGGGGGTGGATGAGTGGGTGGGTGGGAGGAGCAAACCAGGAATCACTGCCTGGAATAGGGCTGGGAGGCCTGGCTGGATGGGAGCAGAAATACCTGTGGGTCTGGCTGTGCGGTTGAGGGTGGGTTATGTTGGCTGCAGCCCCTTACCTGACCAGTGCCCATGCCCACAGCTGTGGGGTCGTGCCCAAGGCTGACGCCGCCCCCTGCTGACCTGCCCCTGGCATTGCCAGCTCATGGGCTATGGAGCCGCCACATCCTGCAGCAGACACTGATGGACGAGGGGCTGCGGCTCGCCCGCCTCGTCTCCCATGACCGCGTGGGCCGCCTCAGCCCCTGTGTGCCTGCGAAGCCACCTCTCGCAGGTGAGGCAGCCAGTAGTGCTGTCCCCAAGCACTCCAGCCACCCAGGCCCCAAACAGCAGTCCTGGTGTCCTGGGACCATGGTGGGAGGAGGATAGAATTGCCAGAGAGGACAGTAGGAGGAGCTCCAGCTAACCATTCCCTGGGTGGAGAGGACCTTGCTGGGCCAGTCTGCCTGGCCAGGAGACCTTACTGGAGATCTGTGAAGTGGAAGCTGGGAGTAGCAGGGGAACAGAGAAGGGGGATGAAGGTGAGTGGGAAGCAAGGTCACCATCCAGTGAAGGAAGTTTGGCTAGAACTGCACTAATGCACGAGGATCAAACAGGCAGGCTAGTTGTGTAGGATCGGGGTTGCCCCGAGGAGCCCAAAGAGGGATGCTTTGTGTGTAGAGGGTGGGTGGGGGAGTGGGCTAGCAGAGGGCCGGGCAGCGGCTGGGCTGAGAGTGATGCAGCAGACAAAGCCACCAACCCTGGCTTGGTATTTTTAAATTGTGTGTGGGTGGGAAGTGGGGGCTGGGACTGGAAGGGGGGCTCTTCTTGAGGGAGAAGTTCAGAGGCTGGCTTCCTGTGTTCCCCTTGATTTGGCTATCAAAAAAGGGGGGCAATGGCAGGCTGGGTGAGGCCTGGGAGGGGGCCAGAGATGAGTGGGGGTGGAAGAGCCCAGGAAGGAGGGAGGGGGAGAGGTCAGAGCCAAACCGCCCCCGCAGCTCCTGACAGAACCAGAAATTCCAGCAGAGCAGAGGCGGCAGAGACAGAGACATACAGAGACAGAGAGCTACACAAGGCCAGAAGAGGGGAGGGCCTGCACCCACTTGAGTATGGGACTCCCCACACACACACACTTGCAGGGGCAAGAGATGGCAGTTCAGTAAAGTGAGCTCATCTTCACAGCTTTCTCTGCCCCTTCCTCTGTTCACAACCACTTGTGTCTACAACCTCCACTTACCATCTCCAAACTATGCCTTTTTCCTACAGAGTTCGAGGAAGGGCTGCTGGACCGGTGCCCGGCCCCGGGACCCCATCCTGCACTGGTGGAGGGTCGCAGAAGCAGTGTGAAGGTGGAGGCTGAGGCCAGTAGGCAGTGAGGGTGGACTAGTGTTCTCAAACCCAGGAACCAGACGTCTGGCTCACACAGACGCATCACTCTGCACACTTGGAATCTAGTCACCGCCCTGATCCTTCTGCTGCCCTTCTCCTGCGTCCCCACCTGCTCCATGGGCACAGGACTATGGGGCTTCAAGCAATAATGAGCAGGGGCCTGGCAAGAGGACACAGGAAGGGTGCGTGGTGCCCCCTCACCCCCGCCCAGAACAGGGGGCAAGGACTCTGCCTCTGGGTAGCTGGGGCTCCCCTCCCTCACACAACCCACTCCCATTCTCTCTAGGTGGCCACCAGTGATGTGAGCAGTCACTCAGTTTGGACATGGGGGCAGGGGGACTTCCATGGGAAGGTCCAGCAGCTGCAAATGGCAACATTTCTCCCCAGAACTGAGGGTCTGGGAACACTGGACCTTTCCCTCCCTGTCGGCGTTTTTGTGCTTCTACCTTGTTTCTTTAATTTAATGAGTGCTGCAGTTTGCCCACATATCCCCCTTTCTGCCCCAAGTCCTCAGCAGTTCTTTCCTCCTGCCCTCTGAGGGAGGTGGATAGCGGGTCTCTTGTCAACCCCTGAGAGGCCTGGGTTGGACTCAGGGTCTCTCCAGATGGGACTGGACCACAGCACCTGTCCAAGCACTTAGAGCATCTTTCTTTTCAGATCGTGTACAGTAGATTATTTATTTTGTTATTTTGGAATAAAATTTATTTTATGGCTTAGGATCCATGACCCCCTAGTAAGAGGGAAAATGGTTGGCATAGGGTGGGGGAAGTGGAGGGAAGCTGGCAGTGGATGGGGAACTAAAAGAGAAGCAGTGGGCAGAGCCCCCAACACCTAGAGGGCCACATAGTGAAGCCTGGATGTCACTTTCACCTACTGATTGAGCAACACTGGGGGTAGGGAATCACCAAAACCATAGTCACATGTAGATGTCACTGCTACATAGATTGACCTATGTATGATCACGTTCAAAACAACATCTGGGTTAGCATATGCCAGAGGCTACTATACTTGCTGTGTACCATGCAGTGTGTCATTTCCAAATTTGTGCTATCACACAAGTGAAAGCAAATAGGCACATGTTCTATATAGTCATAACAAATGTCACCTCTACACGTCAGTAGGTTTGAGTATACACATTTTCACACAGCTACACAAAAGAAGCTCAGCCCTTGTACTTCTCCACATTGTCAGCTGTGTACTGATCCTCCATCTGACAAGATTCTGAGCTTTGGGGGAATTTAACATTTTGTTAATCTGGGCAAAATCCCTAGCAGTAACCACATCCAGACTCCTCACATGTCTCCCCTATACTGCTTCCTTGTGCCTCCAGAGCTGGCACCCAGGTCCCCACTCTTGTCCCTGGTTTCTAGTGCAAATGTGTGTACATATCTGCATGTATGTCCCAGGCTTTGGCTCTGGGTGAGTGGCGAAGCCTTCCATGCGCTGAGCTCTTGTCCAGCTACCCTTCTCAGCCTCCTCCGTGGGCAGCAGTGTGTGTGCTGCAGGAGCAGGAATGGTAGGGCGTGCCTCAACTCAGAGCTCAGACTTCCAGTGGTATAAGAGAGGGGACAGTGGTGTGTGGTAGGAAGGAAGAAAGGTGCAGAATGTCTCTCCCCACCAGATGTTCCCCTAGCAAAGTATTTTCCTCCTGGAACAGCTAGAGATGGCAGGCACCTCTGTGAGCAGATATCTGGAGCAGATCCATGGAGACAGGGGAGCTATCACTGGGCTCGCCCTCCAGCTGGTATCACCAACTGGGATTGGCTCTTAGGTCCAGGTGGGACATAGAGATCCCAGATTGCCCATAGTGGGAGGGTTGCAGGAGTTGCTGGGCTCCCAAGGGCCCTCCCCCAGCCTCCCCTTGGCCTTCTAGGAGAAGCTTAGTAAGGTCTTGTTCAGTGGGAGGCAGCAGGACAGGGAACATGTCTTCATCGACCCTAGAAGGAGAAAAGAGCAGCAATAAAGTAGCCATAGCACCCATTCCCTCAGCTGTCAGCTGGCCTCCACCTTGAGGCCACCACTCACCAAGTGCCCTGGGGGTATCTTGCCACTGGCTGGTTTAGGCAGCTGTCTTCATCCATGCTCATGTCTACAGCATGCTCCTGAGACTGGCATGGCAACAGGCCTCTGGCAGTGAACAGAAAAGGAAATGAGGGAGGGGGGTGAGGCCAGGAAAGAATGGAAAGCAGGGATTCAGAGGGGCTTTTTCTTTCACTCACTGAGGGTGAGGCTGGTCAAAAGGCAGGTTTATCTGGCTTAGCCGAGGGGGCATCTGCAGGTGAGGCCTGGAAGCAGGAATGCGGAAACAATCAGAGGAATAAAGCCTGGACAAAGTCAGGGTGTTACAGTCAAGCCCCTGAGTGAAGAAGCAGGCTGCCGTGCCCTATCCTGACAGCTGCTCTTGGAGTCCACAGCCCTAGATGGTTCATTTCTGTGCTCAGAGCAGTTTTCTCACCTGTGAAATGGTGTGGATGGATTAGCCAAATTCTGTTTCTTTGGACTCTGAACATTGGTATCTGTAATACCTCCAGTCCTCCTCTCTACCTCAGTTTCTGGAAAGGCAGATGCTGCGCCTCAACTAAGTTTATAAGCAGCAAGCATTACTTGGGGAAGAAAGATGTCTAGGCCAAAATAGGTGAACACATAAAAGTCAACAACTGATGGTGCCCATGGTTGGCCTGTGCAAGTCCCTGGATTTAATTCCTGGCACAGCAGTAACAAAGGAAATAAGGGCTTGGAATATAGCTCAGCGGCACAGCACCTGTCTGGCAAGCATGAGGTCATGAGTTCAATTCCCAGTAGCAAAAAAAAGTGAATAAATGGCAAAGCAGCTAACAGTGGACTTCAAGGCTAGGACAGAAAATGTATGGCTCTTGCTACAAGCAAGGCATAGTGCTCAGCTCTAGACATACTGTGAATTTTTGTGGTGGTTGTTGTAGTACTGGAATTGAACCTAAGGCTTTACATCGAGCTATATGTCTACATTCCCTCCCACTTTTTGAGATAGGGTCTTGCTAGCTAAGCTGCCCAGGCTGGGCTCAAACTTGTGATTCTTCTGCCTTGGCCTCCCAGAATGATGGGCATACAGGGCCAACATTATTATGAACTCATTTACTCTTCAAAATAATCCCATGAAGTAGATATTACTACCCATTAGTATGCCCTATTTTACAGATGAGGCATCAGAGGTTAAGTAATATGTCTCAGGTCAGCAAGTAGCAGAGCTGGAATTTAAACCCATACAGCCTGGCTCTTATCCCCCACCACAAAGTAGAAGAAAAGGTATTAGCATGTGCTGTCTCTTCCCACAGAGAGTCCTCTCCTGGCAGATGTAAATGCCCACACCTGGCGGTGGAATGCTGTCCCAGTCCCCCAAAGATGCTGACTTACTCTGGGAAGGCTGGTAGCACGGTGACTGACTCTTCCTGGGTGAGGCCTTGATAAGGTTGAATGGAATGAGAATGTGGGGGGTACACTTGGGGCCTAGGGAAAGAAAGCAAATAGCATGATGCCAGCTGTAGTCCTGGGCACCAAACCTTGGGAATGGGAATCTCTTTCACAGAAAGGAAAATTCCCTGCTTCAGCCATCTCCACCAGCTCTCCCAGTTGCCCATCCCGAAGGCCTGTCTGCACAGACCACTCCAGTTCCTGTCTTTCCTCACATCCTATCTTGGCCAAGCTGCATGTTCACGGAAGGATCAGGGGTCATTCCAAGATCATAAGAGGGCACCATGGCAGGCATCTGGGGCTCTGGGGTGGGAAGGGGCTGGTCCCTGGAGAAGAGAAGGGGGTACATGTGACAAAGGAATGAGCCTGCCACTCCTTCCTCTACATAAATACCAGTCCCCAGATCCCACCTGCTGTCCACACACCACACTCACCTTTCTACAGTCATCTTGATGGTAGCTGGGACATAACCCCTGCCATCCTTACCCATCTGTTCCGCTGTTGTGGAAAAGAAAGAAGGGATATCCATGCAGTGCTCTAGGTTAGGAAGAAAGGGAGCTAAAAAAGTTGAAGGGACGGATGATAGGCATGTGGAAGAAGAGCTACAAATATGGGAAGGGAAACGAGGGAGAATACAGTAGGTAGGCAGGGAGAAGGGTGAGACAGGAAAGAATCGGAGCTGTTAGCTCTAGCTCACGCTTGTAGTGACTCCGGAAAGCCTCATCCTTGGGTTTCTTCGGGTAGAGGTTTTTGAGCTGAGCAAGATCTCGAATTCGGTCCCCCAGTGAACGAATGGACAAGTCTTTGGCAGAGAATGGCTGAATGTTCTCTATCTGTGGTGAACCTATGAAAGGAATAAGACCCTGGGGTCTTCTCTGTCTAGACCTCTACTTACCAGCCTATGACAGTACTCATTCTTAGTCCACCAAGGCAAGAGAGAGCTTAAGAGTGGGACTGTTGGGGGATGGGGATTTAGCTCAGTGGCATAAGCGCCTGCCTTGCAAGCAGGCAGTCGTGAGTTCGATCCCTGGTACCGATAAAAACAAAATGAAACAAAAAAAAGAGTGGGACTGTTGAGAGAGGGAGACCCACTAGTCTTCACTGCCATGAGCTTACAGTGAGAGATGGAATTTAGAAAATGGAGGTAGAGGGCTGCGGATTTAGCTCAGTGGCATAAGCGCCTGCCTGGCAAGCATGAGGTCATGAGTTCAATCCCCAGTACCAAAAACAAAACAACAACACAGAAAATGGAGGTAGGTAAGTTGGACCTAAGGAAGGACTTCCTGAAGATCAAGTTGGCATCAAGGAAGGCCAGAATATTTCCTTCCCAGAAGAAACCTGAGGCACAAAGGTAAAGGACTGGCCGGAGTGACCTCACCATCCTGGCTCCGGATGACATGAGCAATGGTGATGCCTCCAATCTCTGAGTCACTGAAGCGGAGCAGGAAGGTTCCATCGGGCTCATTGAGAAGGAGGCTAGTGACGTACTGTTTGCTGATGAAGCCAATGATCAGCCTGGCCAGGATGAAAAGGACTAGGTGTAGGCACTGGATGTGGAGAAAGAGCCAGAAGTGCAGCTTCTCAGTCCATCTAGGGCAGAGAGGGACTCACCGGTCTGACCAGTAGCTCCGGAGACAGCGTTTGGTGAGGTCTAGGACACCATCGAACCACTGCCAAAAGGTGAAGCCCCGGCCCAGGAGGATCTCCTAAGGGGTGACAGGGAGAACTGGGGTGAGCAGGTGTAGGCAGAGCTTGAACCTGGTTAGGGCAACCACTGGACTGTGACCCCTCCCAATCAGAGCTACAGGGCTGAGGGACCAAATGACCTGAGGCACATCAATGACAACAGCCAACACATACCATGTGTCAGGTACTCTTCCCAACCTTTCCAAATGATATTTGATCTTTTACTTAGCCTAGGCAGGCTTTGAACTCACAGCAATCCTCCTGTCTTAGCCTCCTGAGTGCTGGGATTATAGGAGTACACCATCATGCCAAGTTATTTGATCTTTACAAGGCTATGGAGGAAGATACTACCATAATCCTATTTTACGGAAGTTTATTAAGGTCAAATGACTTGCCCAAGTCCAAGAGCTGATGAGAGGAAAAGCTGGGATTTTAAAGGCAGGCAGGGTGGCACTGAAGACCCACATAACCACTACACATGCTAATCTATAATGCCTGGCGGAGATGGAGACAGAGGAAATTGACTTGCCAGCTGCAATTGTCTTGCTTCTTTTGCTAACACATCCTCTGATCACATGGGCTTCTCATTCTTCTTCTTTTTCTTTTTTAAGAGAGTAGTATATGGTTGTGTTTACCCAAATAGGTGTCAACCAAGACACCAGAACTCCTCATGTTCTTGTAACATGGGGTGACCCTCAGAGCAGAGGGAATTTCCTGCCTGAGCCACAGTGAAGACCTTCCTGATGGGCATGATGGGACTCTGTGAAGATCTTAGTGGTCTGTCCCTGTGCAGAGGCTGGAGAGGCTTGAATGCCCTGAGGATGAGGAGTTTGAGGGAGGGAGGTCTAAAGAGCAGGGGAGTAACCTTGTTAAACTGTGACCAGGACACAGAACGGTGCTGGAAGGCTTCCATGCTAAGGCTGTTGTCATTGAAGATCTTCTGGGCCAGGAAGAGAAAGTGCTCTGGGAGCAGTCCCCGGTTGGTCCCCACCTCAGCCATGAACTTGAGGTTCAGAGTTTCACACATCTTCTCCCAGGGCACACGCTCAGCCACCACAAAAGGCACACGATCCTGGGAGAAGGAGAGAGCACCTCAGGCCTCAGTTTCCTCAGTGGACCTCATTCTTTCTGTCTTCCTAATCTGCCCCTCCCAGCACTGTTTCTTGAGTGACTCTCAAACTCGGTGCTTTCACTGTCATAGCCTCTCATGCTACAGCATGACAGTTGTAAGACTGGGATGAAAAGAGATCAGAAGCATGAAACCAGGCTCAAGAGAATGAGTTAAAATCACACACATTTGAATATGACCACCATCCACCAGCTAGCACATCCCCATGTTAGAACCAACCCTGTGCTCCAGCCCTTGTTCTGGATCTTTTCTTACCATCTCAGAGAAGGCATTGTCCCACAGGATAGTGGCTTTGGCATTGTTGTCTTGGTTGCCATGGACAATGACCACCAAAGGAAGAGACAGGGCCTGAAGAAGCAAGGAGTTTTCCCATTAGAGGAGCAAGAGCTGTCCTTAGGAGGCTGGCTGTAGGAGATTCACACAACAGAGTTTAAAAAGCTTGTGATATGTGATTAAAAGCTTCCTGAAGCTCAATGAGGACCTTAACGTAGAAGGGTGGTTATGTGTGAATGTTCTGGAGCCATACTTCTGGGCTCAAATACCAGTCCCAACTCTTAGCAGCTGTGTTACCTAGACAAAATTCTAAATCTCTCTGGGTCCCCATGTCTTTATCTGTAAAATGAGGCTAGTGATATAGTACAATAAACTCCCAATTGACAAACAAGCTCTTTTCCAGGAGAACATTCATAAGCTGGATTGGAAGGTAAGCCCAACAAAGTAAGTTTACACATCTTTGACACAAATATACAATGTAATGCATGTGAAAACTCAGAGTGAGGTATCTGTGAAAGTCCGAAACTTGAAGGTTTGTAAGTTGGGGACTTGTAGTCCCTACTCTTTAATGTCACTATGAAAATCAACTGTGTGTATGTAAAGAGTTCCTGATGTTTTGTTGTCTTTTTCCTTTTTATCGGTACCGGGGATCGAACTCACGACTGCCTGCTTACAAGGCAGGCGCTTATGCTGCTGAGCTAAATCCCCAGCCCCCAGCTAAATCCCCAACCCCCAACTGTGTATGTAAACAGTTCCTGATGTATAAAAGGTTCTTGATAAGTTGCTATACATCTTTCCCCAAATGAGTGCCCCACAATCTTGCTCCTCCTATTCACCTTGGCTGCATTGTACACGATCCCATACTCATGAGGTAAAGGGCAATTAGGAGGGGCCCAGTTGTGGCATGGACAGCGGGATGGGGCTTTGGGGCTGACTGAGGTAGAGCTGGGGCCAACACTCACCTGGAGCTGGATGGGGATTTTGTTGGGGCCAAGCATGAAGCTGGTGGAGAAGAGAACCGCACACTTCTCCTCGGTGACAGATTCGGTGCCCTTCCGCTCACATCGTTTGATTTTCTTCAGGAGCTGTGAGGGGATGAGGCAGAGCATAAGCGAGGACATAAGTGGTGAGACAGTTTTCCCAGGGCTCCAAGAACACGCCCCCAAGAACTCTAGCCTCCTTTCTCCCTGTCCTTGCATCCAAGAGTTCCTCACCAAGTTCTTGAAAAGAGCAGAGCAGCAGTTCCCAGGAATGCTGTTCTCCAGTGGCACGGTGTTATTGATGATCTCCCCAGTGCTCTCTCTGTTGGAGGTCAGAGTGTGAGAGAATTGTGAGGGCTACCCATGGTCGCTGGCCCCAAATCTCTATGACCCTGCTTAGGTTTTTTTTGGTTTTGGTGTTGGCAATTGAATTCAGGTTCTCACATATGCTAATCATGTTCTCTACCATTAAAGGATTCCCCTGTGCCCTAGCTCCCTGCTTTGGATTCTCCTCCTCCTCCTCTTTTTTTTGAGACAATATCTTGCTATATAGTTCAAGCCTGGCCTTGAATGCACTATGTAGCCCAGGCTGGCCTGGAACTTCTGGCAATCCTCCTGCCTCAACCTCCCAAGTGTTGGGATTATTGGGGTGCAACACCACATCTGGCTCATCTACTTAGAATCTTAAAAAGAGGATTCCTATATCCTGATGCCTCTGCCCTACTGCAGAATGAATGGGTCCCTTCCTTTCCTCATCTTTGACCATCCAGCGTCCCCACACTCATGGGTTCCTTCCTCATTCTCCTGGTCTTTAGGATGTCACACACTCCTTGGCACCTCTTGGCTCCATCACCCAGCAATTCTTCTTTAGCCCCCAGCCCAGCCCCAGCTTACGTTCCAGCTCCAGGTGCCTGGGGCATACTCAGCTCCCTTGCCTGCTTCTCAGTCACCATGTCAGCCCTGACCAGTGGAGGCTTGGCTGGAGCACCCAGAAACCGCAGGCCCAGCAGGAACCGAACTCCTGCCTGGAACTTAGTCTGAGTCTTCAGAACCTGCGGGGGCTGCTTCTCCACCAGGAAAGAGCTGGGAGACGTGAAGAGGATACAGTGGGAGTTAGGCACCATCCTGTTGCCTTTCTCACAGCTCTGATCCCCTTCTTCCCAGTCCAGGCCAGGCTGGGGACTCACGGGCATACCTGGTGACGAGGGTCTGCAGGACTTCATCCAGCCGGCTAATCATTGATGCCCGTGTCTTGTGTTCAAGCTCCCCACCAGCTGCCCCTAACTCCTGCTGTAGCTGGGAATAAATGTCCACCAGGCTCTCACACCTGGGGCCAGGACAGTGGTCAGGGGGCACAAGATACAGGCTAGATGTCTGCTCCGGCCCAAAGCCCCCTTTTCTAAGTCCAGGCAGAAAACAGGCTATTGTGTTTAACAATGGGTTGGGCAATGATGTAGCTGCAAGACTCCTGAGCTGAAGAGGGTTCAGGGACCTGCTTTATATAAGAGGTTCATTCTCAGTTCTAAACTTTCTGTGGAAACTGGGATGCCTCTTCCCCAGGGCCTTGACACCTAAAACAGTTGCCAGCATAAATAATGCAGGAGGGAAAACTGAAAAATGCCCTACCCGCCAGACTAAATAGAAAAAGGTCCCCCTTCCTTCAAGGCATGGGACTTGAAGACAGAAGCACGGGCTGCATGAGCCCCAACTTGTGACTTCTGGACTAAGCACACTTGTACGGATATAGCTGAACAATTGGCACATCCCTGCTGCAACTGAGTTCTCTGGATCTTGGCCCACTCCAAGGCCCTCCAACCTGGCTTCTTCTCCCTCACACCTGTGCTTCCTCCAGCAGGGACAGCCGATGCCCACCCTCAGCGTGCCCCTCTTTTCCCATCAGCTAACCTCTCCTGTAGCGTGGCCAGGCTCTCCTCAAAGGGTGCACCATTCCCTGCCAGCTGCTGCTGCCGTTTCCAAATCTGGATCCTCTTCAGCAGCAGGGTCTGAGCCATTTCCAGCTCCCTAATGGTGTCCTGCAGCAGCGTGGCCAGAGCCTAAAGGCAAGGAAGGGACTAAGCCAGGGTCACAAACTGACTCCTCACCCAGCTCCAGGGGTAGGTAGGACTCTTCCTGCTTCTCTGTCATTCCCTTTCCTGCCTGTGTCTCTCTGAGGTCTAACTTCCATTCTTCCAGCTGCACTTTGAGCTCTGTCTCTCTCTCTTGAAGTTCATTACTTACCTCATTTGGCCCAGTCCCATTGGCAGGAGAATCTATCAAGCTGTGCAGAGACACTAAGGGTGGAGGCAGGAATCAGGTATGCAGAGAGAACAGAAGTTCAGTCAAGGCTGAGGTTTAAAGGAAACCCTTGCCTCCCACACTCTGCCTTGAACTGTTTTAGGACTCCAGGCCAGGTCTGCACCTTGTCCAGCTTCACTTCCTTGATGCAATGTTTCTCGGAGAAGGCGGATCTCCCCAGTTCGGTGCTGCAGCCTCTGCAGGTCTATTTTAAACTTGAGTTCTTCTTGCTTCCAGTGGAAGGACACTGGCAGGTGGTGAAACTACACAAGAGGGACAGTTGTCAAGAGGTGAAATACTCTACCCCTCTTTCTAGGCTGGCCTTCACTCTCTACAGGAAAGGGGACAGGCTCTCTTTTCCCCTTGGCTGCTCTTTCTGATCTTTGGGATTTCTCTAGGGATGAGACCTTTCTCCTAGAATAACCAGCTCCTTACCCCTTGCTCTGTTATTCCCCAGGCCTTGTTATTCTGTCTTTTATTTGAAGCTTCTCTGAACACATTTTGGGTTCACTCTGACTCCAGGGATTTCTGTTGGTCATCCTAGCCTGTAACACTGAGCCTTTTCTGAGTTTCATATTCTTTCTAGTTTCTTATGGATCAATCTAAAGTCCCAAGAAGTTGCTTTACAGTGGGAAGTGGGGTATCACAATACCTGTTCCATAACAGCTTTTTTCTCTCCTTGAAGTATTTGTCTAAAAGTGGCAACAAGTTTCAGGGGATCCCTCTGATATATGCTCTGTGGAAGTGACAGTAGTGGGCAGTTAGCCTGTCTCTCACCCATGTCCTCTTCCCCCTCCAATCCCCAAGCTCTTATCTACACAAACACTGAAAGGCAACACAACTGTAGATTCCAGAAGTCTTAGGCATTTGTAGGCTTTTAAAATATAATTTGCGTGCTAGCAAGCAGCTAATCACAGAAACACTACTTTGCTTTCAACATCCTCCACCATCCAACTGATTTTCTTCCAACATCCAATGCTCAACCCAGCTCTGCCTCATCCCTTCCCCTTCTCTTCCTCCCTCCCCCCACCTCCAGGGTGCTGATGTGTTGTAAGATGGTGCTTCCTTCTCCCTGCTCTCCTGTAGAAGCTTGAAGACGCTGGACAGTGGCTGAAAGTAGGGCGCTTGCCATGTTGCAACAGAAGGCATCTGAGCTGACCAGGAACTCCCTGTGAGAAGATCAGAATGGGATGACCTCAAGCCAGAGCTTCTTCAGTTCTCTTGATCCTCTAGCCCACTTCTGTCTCCTTATTCTCCATCTAGGTCCACTACAGTTGTCACCCATGTCCCTTGCTCCTCAATCTTTCAGCTCTTGTGTGAAGCGCCTCTGCTCCAGTGCTGACCTCCTTCCTCTCTGGCTCAGACTCCTGAGGGGTAGAGTGTCTATGAGCCCACATGCATAGTCTAGTCTGTCTCTACTAAGTCTAGACCACCACATGTGGAGGAAAGGGCCCCAAGTTCCAAATTCCACAAGGTGGGGTATACAATGGGAGGGAAAGTGGAGAAGAGAAGACACAGGTAGCCAAACTCACCATGGCTGGTTCTCCAGCCAGTCACCTAAGAGATGCCTTAGGTGCTGAGGAAAGTCAACGTAGAGCCGCTGTAGTTTTTCTGGGGACACCTTGGAGACCAGACTCCACAGAGACATGATCTGGGGTCTGGAGAGTGCCTGGAAAAAGAGAAATAAGGCCATTTTAAGAGGCAGTAGGGCTGATCATGGTGGTGGATGCCTATAATTCCAGCACTTGGGAGGTTGAGGCAGGAGCGTTTCCATGAGTTTAAGGCCATCCTGAACTACACAACAAGACACAGTCTCAAAAAAAAAAAGAGGCATCCAGCATCTGAGATGAATACACACTTCTTTTTTTTTCTTACACACTTCTCAGATAAAGAATACAAATGACAAATAAATATATGAAAAAAATGTTCAATATCAGTGGTCATTCAAGAGATGCAAATATAAACAACACTGAGATTTCATCTCACTCTGGAAAGAATGGCTATCATCAAGAGAATAACCAATATGGGCTGGGGATATAGCTCAGTAGCAACACTCCTGTATGGCAAGTGCAAGGTCCTGAGTTCAATTCCTGGTACCAAAAACAAAAACAAAATGAAAAGAAAAGAAAAGAGAAAATAACCAATAACAAATATTGGCAGGGCTGTGGGGAAAAAGGAACCTTTCTCCACTGTTGGTTGGAGTGCAAACTGGTGCAACTATAGTGTGAAGATTTCTTTAAAAAACCACAAAGGTCCCCCTTGACCTAGGTATTCCCCTTCTAGGTATCTTCCCAGAATTAAAAACATCATACCAAAGTGATATATGTGCAGCCATATTTATAAAAGCACAATTTGTAAGAGTTAAATCTTGGAAACAACTCAAATGTCCATCAATCAAGGAATGGATAAAAATGATGTGGTTTTTTAAAAACATGCTGTAATACTACTCAGCCATTAAAAAGATAACCTTGAGACTTTTATAGGTAAATGAATACAACTTGAGACCATACTCCTAAGTGAAATAGATCAGACTCACATGTATAAACATCATATTATCTTTTTTTCTTTTTTGGCAGTACCAGGGATTGAACTCAGGACCTTGCGCCTGCCAGGCAGGTGCTTATGCCACTGAGCTAAATCCTCAGCCCCCATCATATTGTCTTGCTTGTGTGAGAATCTCAAAGAGCAAACAAGAGCCAAAATGCACAATAGATATTATGAATAAGAAAGAAACTTTTCTAAAGAAAAGAAAAATTATGATGGGATAAAGGGTGAAGGAAGGAAGGGAAAAGGAAAAACATATATATAAACACAAAAGAGTGAAAATGATTATACAGCTGGTTTTTCTTGGTTCATTGAGGGAAAGTTTTGTGCCAGTAATTTTCTGGACAATGTTTCATGCCTATATCTTGTACTCTGAACAACTACTATGAATATAACAATATACAATGTGTTGATCGCTACTCTCCTACTAGCCTGTTTTGAAACTCTGTTGTTATTGTTATTTCTTACTTCTTTCTGTTTAAAAAAAAAGAGGCACCCAAGAAACATGGCTTAGCTTCTGGGGCAGCCCCAGACCTCCTGTAGATGGTCTTCCTATAGACCATCCCCATCCCAGCCAGGCCAACTCAAGCCACTAGCATCTTTTGGTCCATGTCTAAGATAGAGCAACAACTTCGATTGGAGGTAAATATGGGGAATGGAGGTAAGACGTGCTAAGTGTTGGCCAGAGAAGTAGGGTGACAAGGGGACACAGGGTGGTAGAGAAAGAATGGGAGAGCTTTAGACAGACTAGATTCTATGAGCAAAGAGCCTCCATTCTATGTGCCTTGATCTTCCTATTTGTAAAATATGAGAGCTGAATGAGTGGAGAATTTTCCAAACTTTTTAAAGCAGTAGAAAATTTTAGTTTTAAATCTGTGGACTCCCAGTATAATTGGGCCCCCTTATCTGGGTGAGACAGGCTCCAAGGCATTGTATGAATACTTGAAATTGCTAATAGTACCCGAAACAGCAGATACTATCAAACTCTGCGTCTACTGCGTGTTTTGTCTTATTTGTTGCTTTGGGAGGGGGGTGTTTTTTGGGGAGAATACTGGTAACCAAACCTTGAGCCTTTGCACTGGATTACACCCCCAGCTTATTTTATTTTTATTTTTGAGATAGGGTGTTGCTAAATCACTAAGTTGATCAGAGTGGACTCAAACTTACTATAACCTCCTGGTTCGGCCTCCCAGAGTGCTGGGATTCCAGGCATGTGCTACCATAACCAGTTTGCTTTTTCCTATACTTAGGTGCCTGTGATAAAATTTCATTTATCAATTAGGTACAAGACAAAATAAATAATACTAACTAGTCATAAAATACAGCAATTACTGGACTACTGTAATAAAAATAACTTATAATTTAAGAATTGTTTATTTCTGTTCAGTGTGGAGATTCCTCAAAGAACTACGATTGGAATTCCCATTTGACCAAGCTACTTCCCTTCTGGGTATTTTCCCAGAATTAAAAGCATCATACCACAGTGATATATGTGCACTCACATTTATAGCAGTATAATTTGTAATAGCTAAATCTTGAAAACAACCCAAATGCCCATCAACCAAAGAATAGATAAACAAGATGTGGTTTTTTTTATGCAACAGAATATATACTTGGCTATAAAGAAGGATAAACTCAAGACTTTTACAGGCAGGATGCAACTTGAGAGCATACTCATAAGTGAAATAAATCAGATTCATATGTGTAAATATCATATTGTCTTCCTAGTGTAAAAAACTGAAAGAGTAAAGAAGATCCAAAATGTACAATAGATACTGTGAAAGTCATAGGAGAGGAAATTGCTCAAAAAGAAAGAACAACTGGGATGGGAGAAAGGATAAAAGAAAGAAGGAAAGAGGCTGGGGATTTAGCTCAGCGGCATGAGCGCCTGCCTTGTAAGCAGGCAGTCATGAGTTCGATCGCCGGTACCAATAAAAAAGACAAAAAAAAAAAAAAAAAAAAAGAAAGAAGGGAAAAGAATAAATAAATATATATGATAGATAGTTATCTACTAATCTCTATTAGTTCATCTAAAAGAACAGTTTGTGCTTACACTGTTTGATCAATATTTCATGACTATATATATATTGTCTTTTTCGTTTTTACCAGTACCGGAGATCGAACTCACGACTGCCTGCTTGAAAGGCAGGCACTTGGGGCTGGGGATTTAGCTCAGCGGCATAAGCGCCTGCCTTGCAAGCAGGCAGTCGAGAGTTCGATCCCTGGTACCGATAAAAACAAAAAAGACCAAAAAAAAAAAAAAAAAGGAAAGGCAGGCACTTATGCCGCTGAGCTAAATCCCCAGCCCCCATGACTATATTTTGTAATCTGAGCAACTAATTTGAAGATAACAATTATGCAATATATTAACCGTTATTAATCTCCTATCATCTTGTTTTGAAATTCTGTCATCGTTTTTATTTTTTTCTTTTTAAAATTAAAAAAAGAATTGCCTATTGTCAGTATTTTCCACTTATCATTTTCAGACAGGTTTATGAAGATAACTGAAACTGTGGAAAGCAAAACCATGGGTAAGAGAGGACTAAAAAGCATAAAACCAGTTGGGTATGGTGGTGTACACCTATAGACTCAGCACTCTTGGAGGCTGAGGCAGAAGCATCATAAATTTAGAACCTTAGAGAGATGCTGTTTGGGTTTTTTTTTTTTTTTTCTGTCTTTTTTTTTTTTGTTTTTATCGGTACCAGGGATTGAACTCACGACTGCCTGCTTGCAAGGCAGGAGCTTATGCCACTGAGCTAAATCCCCAGCCCTGGAGATCCTGTTTTTTAAAAAAAGGTCTGGAGTTATAGCTCAGCAAAAGTCCCTTACTGGGTTCAATTCCCAGTACCTCTCCCCCAAAATGTATAAAACTGGAGTATATCAAAGCCAAATGTGAAAGGCCTCGAACTCCACTTTGTCTCCTTCCCCTCTCACCTGACCCCAATGCTGTCTCCTGAAAAACCTCTCAAAATTCTGTGGCTCCATTAGGTAATTTGAAAACCACCATTCCATATGATGAAGAGAATGGCAGAGTGGTAATAATTACTATTATGCAAATATTTTGTAGGAAGTATATTCCGTATATTATTGGAATCTCATAATTTTTTTCAGTACTGGGGATTAAACCTAGGCCTTGTGCATGCTAGGCAAGTGCTCTACCACTAAGCTATATCTCCAGCCCACCCCAACAACACTTTTTCAAAATATATAATTGTTTCCTTTCATAAGTGAAAAAATCCAGGCTTAGGGAAGGCTCCCTAACTTGGCCAAGATCACTTGGCAAATGAGTTGGAAAAACCAAGCTCTGAATCTGAGTAGGGATTAATCTCTAAATTGTGCTGATAGTTTCCCTCCAGCTCCACATCCCATAATCCTAAAAGGGGGAGTGTGTAAGGAGATGGAGAAAAAAGAAAAGTAGGGAGATGGAAGGAAGAGTTAAGAGAAACCAGGGAACAGTGGGACTAGTCAGCCTGGAGTCAGGAGCTGAGAGGAGGGACAAGAATACTAGGGGCTAAAGGCCAAGAGGAGGGAAGCAAAGCAGGAGGGGGAGATGGGGAAGTGGGGAGAGCCTTGCTCCCTGTTTTAGAGACAGGGCTGCAACTTTGGCTGGGTAAACCAACTGTTTCCCAGGGATGTCTCTCAGGTAGCTTTTCATAATGCCCCTCTCCCAGACACAAGGGTGAGGATGAGATAGAACCCCCTGGATCTCCCCCAGCCCAGGAACTCCAAGTCCTCCTGCTGCACTTGGAGCTTCTCACCTCTCCCAGGGCTCCCAAAGGGATGGAAGACAGAGGCCCCCTATGTAGACCTTCCCCCTCTTCAGACCCCGCTTGCTCTACTCAGATTCCCTACTTCCCGGAGCTCTTTATCCCCAGGCAGAAGCCTTCCCCTTCCGGCTGAGGGGTCCTCAAGGAGGTCTTTCTCTAGTCCTCCTTCCCTCCTCAGGATGTGGCATCTTTTGGAGCTCCACTTAGTCTGTGTTTCAAATTCAAAGGAGAACTTCATTCTCTCTTCTCCTTTTCTCCATCTCCGGGGTAATCAGAATCCAGATCCTTGATGTCCAAGGCAGGGAGGGGCCTGAGCCTCCTCACCGAGCTCCCAGGGATAGGGCTCCGTTTGCTTCCTTGCCTTTGCCTTTTCCTTGGGGAGAATGAGGAGACCCTCAAGACATAGGCAGCCACTTTGCCTATACATCACCTTTCTGGCATGGCCTAGTTTCAAATTCCCAACTCTTCTCTCTCCCCAGACATCAGGAAGCCACATTTCTCTCTCCCCTCTCTCTCCCCGTAACAAGGCTGGGTCAACTGAGCTTCCTAAAACACGGGCTCCTTTTGCTTTGAGACCCTTAAGAGGAGTGCGGAGGCCAGGGCTACAGTGCGAGGGGGCGGGACCAGCATTCTCTCCCCAAATCAGAGGGGAAAGCCCAAAGCCCAAGATCCCCATCGAGCAGCCAGGACCTACACCCCATCACCTCCACCCCTGTAGTCCCGAGTCCTCTGCCTGTGGGACCACAGACCACAAAGTGGAAAGAGCGTCTCTGCCCAGTGTGTGTGTTGGGGGCGGGGGGGGGCGACGACACAAGGCGCAGGGAGGTGGAGCCAGGTCGGCACGAGGAGGGTTAATCCCGCGCTGCCCAGCGGCTCGCCCGCCCGTCTGCCCGCTGGGAAAGCTTGGCGTCTATGGCAGCCAAGCGTGCAGCAGTTTTGAGGGGGAAATTCCCCCTTCTCTGGGGCACCATGAGGTCTACTAGGACTCGCTCGTCCCCCTCCCTTTGGCCACACCCTTGAACTGGAACTTTTAGCAGGAGGTAGAATAGGAGTTTGACGGCAGCCCACTGCTCCCAGCCATCAACCTTCTAGGAAGGGGAGCCACTCCTCCTACATTAAGAGGGACCCTCCCTCCCGTCCTCTCCCCAGCTTCCCACGCCCTGGAGGAGGGAGGTGGAGAAAGTGAACCAAGTGGAAAGGAGATAGAGGCCTGTGCCCACTCCAAATTCCTTTCTGGGTGGGAAACTGCCAATACCCTGTTTCACCAGTTATCAACATTAGCGAAACAATCTCTAGGGGACCATCCACCTCGCCCAGATGAGGGCCCAGAGGTCCCCCTAACCCATCCCCCACATTCAGCCACCCTGCCCCAGGCATCCCCTCACCTCAGCACCCCTCTGCGGTCTTCGGCCTCTCAGCAGCCACTCCTTGGTCCCATGGGTCTGTAATTCTGTCCAGTGAGTTCAGGGCTGGCCCTGCTAGCACTCCCCTCCACCACTACCACCAAAAAGTAAACACACACACACACACACACACACACACACACACACACACACACACACACTCCTCTTCTGGCCTTCCTCTCCAGTGCAAGCAGTGGCTGCCCAGCCTGCTGTTTCCGGCTTCTCTTCTACCCAGGTCCCTCCCTGGAGCTCTGACGACATAGAGAAGAGAAAGTGGGCTGGAGGAGGAAGAGGAAGAAAGTGGGGTGAACATGTGTGCCTCCTGCGCTGGGTGGGGAATCACGTCGTGGAGAGGGGTGCAGGGCTGGGGCTCCCAGCCTTAAAGCCAGCCTGGAAGGGAAGATGACCCCCACTTACTGTATGCCCCTCAACAGTAATCAACTTGTCTTTGCGTAGTATCAAGCACGGACGTGCCACCCAAACTGTCTGGCTCCCACACTCGAACTTTCTCAGGGGTTTGGGGCCACGAGGGACGGGGCTCTCTGGGGCCTCTGGAAAAGTAAATCCCTGTGGGCTCTGCGCTCCCTCCAGTGGAGGACCCTGAAAAGCAGCCGTGGAGCTCCAGGCTGTCTGAACTCCTAGGCTCGCCTTCCTTCTCGGCAGGAACGCCTTAGAGGTCGCGTGACCACAGTGACAGCAGCCGGGAGGAGGTGGAGGAGGGGAGCCCTCAGCTCAAAATTCTGGAAGCGTCCAGGAGTCCCTGAGACCGAAGACCATATTTGCTCGCGCCCCACAGGGTACCACTCCTCAGACCCCAGTGGTAGCCGGCACCAGCAGAAGTGCTGCCAGCTGATCCCCAAGGGATAAGTTCGACTACGAATCTGCTGCGCAGTCTTGGCGAAGTTCCTGTTTGTTTCTGGGATAAATATTGAGACACACCCGGAAACAAATACAAGCACAACTTCCCCCGGCTACAAGACTACACACACACACACACACACACACACACACACACACTGTTGCACTATTGCTGATTCACCATCCTAACTAGTGGAGCGATTTGCGCGCAGTTTTGGCTGTAGGAGGACTTGGAGAAGAGCCAGGGGTCCTGGGGGGTTTTGTGAGCCCCTAAACCTTAGTCCGGCACGTGGAAAGGGTGGTGTCAGAGGGGGCGGTGGGAGGAGTTTTTTAGTCTTTCCCTTGGGAGCTGGCCGACTGGCCAAAGCTTAGCCTGTGCTGCCCCCTGGTGTCTAAACTGATTTCTCCCCTTCCTATCCCGGCGAACTGGCACCTCAGGGATCCAGTCAGTAGAGTCGAAACCCAATGCAGAACACAGCAATTAAAAGCTTGGACTCTGGATGTGGGCTGGTTAGGTCCAAATCCTGCTAATACTTCTAACTGCACAGACCTAAGCAGTTTACTCTCTGTGATTCAGTTTCTTCATCTGTAAAACAGAACAAATGAGTTGATAATGTTGTGAGATTGAAATACGCTCAGAGACGTGAATGCTTAGAACAGTGCCTGACATATAGTGAACATAAGGCGCTATTCTTATGGACCAGAATAAGCCATGTGTGAGGAAACCAAATCCATCCTACACAGGAGTCTCTGGCCACAAAGTCAGAACCTAGCAGAGATGTGTGTACTTGATGGGTTTATTGTGTCTGCAAAGTAGTGAAAGGAAGGAGAGCAGAGGTGACCATGGTGGGCAGAGACTCTGTCCCAGAGCTTGTTAAGCAAGTAATGGATGGAGGGGCTCAGGGCACACATCCTTTGTTTGTGCACCCAGGTGCCTGCTCTGCCTGCAGACATCCTCAGATGATAGCTGAAACCAGGATTGTCACCTGAGGGTTTCAGGAGAGCCAAGTCCTCAAAGACAAACAGGAAGAGAAGGAGGATAGGGGCAGTCTCTGACTCTGGCTCTTTAAACAGGAAAACTATGAGTCCCAACTAGTGATAGGAAAGCATTTATTGTCTTCCTATCTGACTGCATCAGTTAGGACACTAACAGTATTACAGGCAAATCTAGCATGTAGAGGCAAATCTAGGTTGGGTTTGACTCCATCTTAGAGCATTGTGACTGTTTGCTCACCCCACAAATGAGGACAATTTTATACCTATTTCAACAGAGCCTGGACTATGGTGAGGAAATTAAGGGAACAAAATTGAAGAAAGCAGTTTCTTTCCCTTTCACAATATCTATTACAGATTTAAAAACAACTGGAATGGGGAAAAAGAGAAAAGAAGGAAGGGGGGAAAGTATATTTATATACACAAGATAGCTAAAATAATTGTATTCCTGTTAGTTCATGGAAAGAAAATGTGAGTGCTTATATTGTTTGATCTGTTTTACATGCCTGTATTTTGTAATCTGAGCAACTATTCTGAAGATAACAATATGTAATGTAGTAATCGTTGTTAATTCTCTATCATCTTGTTTTGAAATCTTGTATTGCTTTCATTGCTCTGTTTTGTTTTCTTTTAATCTCTTTTTCTTTCCTTGATACCAGGGATCAAACTCATGACCTTGAGCTTGCCAGGCAGATGCTTATGTGGCTGAGCTAAATCTGCAGCTCCTCTTTTAATCTCTTTAAAATAAAAACGTAAAAAAAAAAAAAAAACTGAAGAAAGCACTCCTCAGATTAAGCAAGTACAGACCATCAAACAACACCCCATGTGCTTGACCCTGAAAGTGGGAGCCTTGCTGCTGCACATCATTTAGGCCCTGCCATCCTACCAAGTGGTTGTAAAAATTATATGAGAGCCAGGCCTGGTGGAACATGCCTTAAATCCCAGCCTTTCGGGAGGCTGAAGCAAGAGGATCAAAAGTTTGAACCCAGCCTGGGCAATTTAGTGGCTTTGCAAGATTCTATGTCAAAATAAAAAATAGAAAAGGAGCTACAGAGCTGGATGTGGTGGCTCACATCTGTAATCCCAGTAATCGGGAAGAGGATCCTTGCTAATTTGAGACCAGCCTGGGCTACAAAGTGAGCTCAAGGCCAGCCTGAAATGCATAGAGAGACCCTGTCTCAAAAAAAAAAAAAAAAAAAAAAGGAGTTACAGACATAGTTCAGTAAGAAAACCCTGGATACAATACAGAGTATCACCACTGCCACACACACACACACACACACACACACACACAAAGATTGTATGAGAGAAAGCATAGCAAAAATAACACTTTGTAGTGTGTGAACTATAACCCAATAGTCAGTCATAAAACTAATTTGGTGAGTACATAATTTTTCTAGGGCTGCTGTAACAAAATATCACAAACTGTGTGGTAAACAATAGGAATTTATCTCATAATACTGGAGGCTCTGAAGCCCTTCTGAGGGCTCTGAAGGGAGAATCTGTTCCAGGCTTCTTTCATGGTTTGTAAACTGTCGCCTGCATGTTCACACAGTATCCTCTGTATGCCAGTCTGCTGCCAGACTTCCCCATTTTATAAGGGTTTCCATCATATTGAATTAGGACACATTTCTAATGACTTCATTTTAACTTTATTATCTCTTAAAATAAGATTGCATTCTGAAGGTGTTAAAATTTTAATATATGAATTTTTGAGGAACACAGTTCATCCCATAGCAGTATCTTGACAATCACTGTTTTTTTTTTTTTCTTTTTTGTCTTTTTCCTTTTTATCGGTACCGGGCCTTGACAATCACTATTACAAAATAAAATACAATAGAGGCTAGGGATTTAGCTCAGTGGCATAAGCACTTGCCTTGCAAGCAGGCAGTCGTGAGTTCCATCCCTGGTACCGATAAAAAAGAAAGAGAAAAAAAATTTTCTTTAAAAAAGGGGCTGGAGGTTTAGCTCAGCGGCATAAGCTCCTGCTTTACAAGCAGGCAGTCGTGAGTTCGATCCCCGGTACCAATAAAAAGGAAAAAGACAAAAAAAGAAAATGTCAGAAGGCATCAAAGAAGAATAAATATTGTTCAGTGACTCTTTTTGTTTTCTCTGTGTATCTGAATTCTGAGTCATGATGTAAAACTACTTTTTAGAGCAAACTCTGTTCCAAAAACAAAGCACCATTTGGATGTTGGTGACCATCTCATATCACTGCATCACATTTAATTATTTTATGGACACATCTTTCTCCCTTAGCAAAAATATAAGTTCAATAAGGGTGGGGAGTCATCATACCATACAAGCTGCTATGCAGCAACTAAAGACAACCCATTTCCTTGCTAATAAATACACAAAGGCTAGCCATGGTATTGTCTATCCTCAGACACAGCTGAAAAATAAGTTAGGGTTAGTTATCAGACAGTGATACTATAGGATAATCAGGACTCTTATGTGCCTGGAAACACACAGGAGGGGTACCTAAACTAAGTATGGGGGGGCTGGGGATTTAGCTCAGCGGCATAAGCACCTGACTTGCAAGCAGGCGGTTGTGAGTTCGATCCCTGGTACCGATAAAAAGTTAAAAAAAAAAAAAAAAAAAAAAAAAAAGACAAAAAACTAAGTATGGGATACAGGAAATCAGGGAAGATTTCCTGGAAGAGGTAATGCCTGAACTAGATCTTGAAGGAAGAGTCGGCACTACTCAAGCAAAGAACAAGAGAGAATTGAGCCAGCAGGAAGCATATGTAAAGACATGGGTACCCGTGGAAGTTTGGTTCGTTCTGGGAACAGGTGATAGTCGGCAATAAGGAGCATTAAAGAATTTAAGCGGGAAAGTAAGTAGGATGAGATTTAGTAGAGCAATCACCCCAACTGCAGAGTGAAAGATGGACTGAAGAAGTAAGTGTGGAACCAGGACACCATTTTAGGAGATTAATAAACTGAAGGAGGCCATATGCTTGAAGAGCCAAGCTGAGGCTAGGGAAGAAGAAAAATAGAGGGATGGAGGATTGGCAGTGGGTGAGGAACAAACGCAGTGAAGAAGTGAAAATTCTGACTGACCTAAAGACCAGGCTTCCAGGGAGCAAGGGACATGAAGAAGTGGAGGACTAGGATGTCACTGTTAGAGACCAGGCCTGTGATTTCAGTCCAGCTCGCCTTGGGGCGTGTTTGTACAGCTCGTTATGGGAGTAGCAAAGAGGGCAAAAGGGAGCTACCTACATCTATGAAGCTGAGTTGGACAAGGAACCAAGGGGCTGCCTGGGCTACCTGCACCAGCTCTGAAGCTAGCCGGATTGCAGAATACCTCAGGGGACTCAGGTGCCAAAATCTGCCAGGAGTCATCAAGACATTAGTAAATGACAGCTCAAATAAGAACTAGGACTGAGAATGTAGCTCAGTGGTAGAGTACATGCCTACCGTTTATGAGAGCCTGGATTTGAGCCCCAGTAGTGTGGGAGGGGGAGGACTAACATTGAAAGAGGCTTTCTGTACTATTTCGATTCCTACTAAAAAGTCAAAGCACTGGGCTGGTGATATAGTTCAGTGGTACAAGTACTTGGTTGGCAAGAGAATAACAGCACTGTACATTTTATCCTAAACAACACAATGAAATGAAACTATCCACCCATAACAATAATATACATATGTGGCTATTTAATTTTTCATTTCCTTTTTCTGGGGCAGGATTACTGTGGTTGAACTCACAGCTTCCTGCATGCTGGGCAAGTACACCATTTCTGAGTCACATTGCTAACCTTTTTTTAAATTTTATTTTGAGACATCATCTTTCTAAGTTGCCCAGTCTGGCCTCA